ATTCATTCACCTGCTGTAGGCCATCTTAGTTGCTTCCAAGTTTTGACCATTATGAATTACAGTACTGTAAACATCTGTGTCCTGGTTTTTATGTAGACATGTGTTTTCAGCTCCTTTGGGTAAATACCAAGGATCATAATTGCTGGATTGTATGTTAAATTTTAAGAAACTGCCAAATTGTCTTCCATAGTGGTGTACCATTTTGCATCCCCACAAGTAATGAATGAGAATTGATGTTAATTTTCAAATCTTCTTTTTTGTTGTTTAAATTCACAAGTTAAAGGATATGTTCATTTTAAATTTGTTGACATAGCACCATTATTAAATATTTTTAATTGTTGATTTGTTAAATTAGTTTAATTGTTTATTTGATAACCAGAAAGTAGCTATCTTATTTCAGATTTTTGTGTCCTTGATTACAGAGTTGGTTTTTTGTTTATGGTTATCTATTTGTAGTTCCTCTTTTGTGACTTTCTATATTCTTAATCCACTTACCTATTAATGTCTTACTGATTTGTGTGAGTACCTTAAATGAACTTTATTTTCTTTAGTTTCCCAGTTAGTTGTATAGTTTTTTTTAACATATAAACCTAAATTATTTTGTGTATTTAAATCCCATCTGGCTTTCATTAAGTTGTTTTTATCATTTTTAAGTTTAGAAATTCTCTCCTTTGAGAGATCCAACAGCTTTTTTGCTGTTATTTTTATTTGTTGATTATAACTCTTTATCTAGCATTTATTTTGCAGCATGATAAGGTAAAGGTACATATATTTTTCATATCATTAATACTTTGAATTTTTATATAAGCACTATCATTCTTAAAATGCAGTTTTCAAGCTTTTTAGTAATTTCTGTAAGCTGATGGTTCTTGATTCATTATGAGGTTTAAGAAAGATGACAAGAAAACTTTAGTGACAGAATATATTTTAGCAATGAAAAAGTAACAACTTCTCATTTGACAAATCTAAACTTTCTCATAAGAGTTAAACATCAGACAATATTTCTGATTAGCCTGCTGTTTGTACAGTAAAAGCATTTGTATTTTCTGGAAATAACAATTTATTCATGAAGGAAATTATGGCAGAGACCCATTTAAAGCAAGAAGATTCTAGACGTTTCACGCAGTCCAGGATTTTGAATGAGCCTTGTGCTTTGGCAGGAGCCCAGGGGAGGAAGTGTCTGCATCTGCTACATTCTAGAAGCTTTCCCAAAGAGTTACTGTAAAGCAGCCAAGAGAGCAGTGTACTTTACTACTGTGTGGTTCTGGAAGTATCTGGAAGTTTGCAGCAAACTTGAGGAGGAGACTTCAAAGTACTTCCAGAATGTCAGTTTCTATGGTGATTTTTATTGAGATTCAAATTAAGAAAGTGGGGTTTTGTTTTGTTTTGTTTTTGCAGTAGGGAGCTTTCCAAATGTAAATTTGAACCCGCTGGTTTGGGTGAAGTCACTTGGGAAGAAACAGATAGAGGTGCCTGCAAAAATAGGGATAGGGTGGCAAGTCAGACAAAGGACCCGTGCCGAGTAATCAGTAGCTTGTTACTGGGCAAATGACACTTTAATGGTAACTTACTCCCCTGTAAGGACTTTTAACGACTTAAAGTCCGTTAAAAGTCCTTACGTGTGATGGAGAAGGAACAAGAAGAGAATCAATTAGGGCAATAGGGCATTTAGGGAAAGCAGGGTAAAATCTATCTGTTGCTTAATTGGTATCTGCATCCGCCATGAACGATACATTCTAGAAAGACAATGCTGCTACTGGGGACAAAGAAAAAAGACTGAAGAAGTACTTTGCTGCCTGGTTCCAAAAAAAAGCCACAGCTAAGTACTAGGCTGGGGATTTTTTACATAGAACGCAGTAGATAAGATAAAGAAACTCTGCATTGAGTCCTTTGAGAGAAATTAGTAGCTTAAATCAACAGGGCTGTTTTTCCTTTCTTGGGTTCTGTACAACTTTTAAAAAATAACAGCTTCGCTGAGGTGTAATTCATACACCGTATAAATCACCCATTTAATGTCCACAATGCAGGAGGTTTTAGTTCTGTCACAGTGTTTTTCCATCATTGGTTGCCAGTTTTAGACATTTTCATTACACCCAAACCCCCAAATAAGTTTATTTTATTTTTGAAATATTTAGAAATTGCCTTTATTATGTTAAAGTATGCTCCCTCTACTCCCACTTTACTGAGTGTTTTGTAAAATATATTTTATTGATTATGCTATTACAGTTGTCCATTTTACCCTCTTCATTCTCTTCCACCCTGTATACCCTCTCCCACCCACATTCCCCCCTTTAGTTCATGTTCATGTGTCATAAGTTCTTTAGTTTCTACATTTCCCATACTATTCTTGCCCTCCCCCTGTTTTCTACCTACCATCTATGCTACTTATTCTCTGTACCTTTCCCCACTCTCTCTTCCTCCCCCTCCCCTGTTGCTAACCCTCCATATGATCTCCATTTTTGTGGTTCTGTTCCTGTTCTAGCTGTTTGCTTAGTTTGCTTTTGCTTTTGTTTTAGGTGTGGTTGTTAATAACTATGAGTTTGCTGTCATTTTACTGTACATGCTTTTTATCTTCTTTTTCTTAGCTAACTCCCTTTAACATTTCATAAAATAAGGGCTTGGTGATGATGAACTCCTTTAACTTAACCTTATCTGAGGAGCACTTTATCTGCCCTTCCATCCTAAATGAAAGCTTTGCTGGGTAGAGCAATCTTAGTTGTAGATCCTTGCCTTTCATGACTTGGAATACTTCTTTCCAGCCCCTTCTTGCCTGTAAGGTCTATTTTGAGAAGTCAGCTGACAGTCTGATGGAAACTCCTTTGTAGGTGACTGTCCCCTTAGCTCTTGCTGCTTCTAGGATTATCTCCTTCATTTTAATCTTGGGTAATGTAATTGTGATGTGCCTTGGTGTGTATTTCCTTGGGTCCAACTTCTTTGGGACTCTGAGCTTCCTAGACTTTCTGGAAGTGTATTTTCTTTGCCAGATTGAGGAAGTTCTCCTTTATTATTTGTTCATATAAGTTTTCCACTTGTTGCTGTTCCTCTTCCCCTTCTGGTACCCCTATAATTCAGATGTTGGAACATTTAAAGATGTCCTGGAGGTTCCTAAGCCTCTCCTCATTTTTTTTTTGTATTCTTGTTTCTTCCTTCTTTTCTGTTTGGTTGTTTCTTTCTTCCTTCTGGTTCACTCCATTGATTTGAGTTCCAGTTTCCTTCCCATCACTATTGGTTGGTTCCCTGTACATTTTCCTTTATTTTACTTAGTGTAGCCTTCATTTTTTCGCGTTATTTGCAACCAAATTCAACCAATTCTGTGCACATCCTGATTACCAGTGTTTTGAACTGTGCATCTGATAGGTTGGCTATCTCTTCTTTGCTTAGTTGTATTTGCTCTGGGGCTTTGATTTGTTCTTGGGCCTTTTTTTTTTTTTTTTTTTTTTGTTTTGTCAGGTCTCGCTTGTTACGTATGAGTGGTGGAGCCTTAGGTTTTCACCAGGGTGAGGCAACCCAGTCTCTGGGTTGTGACGTTGTATGCGGGGAAGGGGTCTGAGAGGGAACAGTGGTGCTAACTCCACTCTCTGTTGGATTTCAGTCCCTTCGCTGCTTCCCCCAAGCAAACTGGGCCCTTCTGGTGCTGGTTCCCTGGGTGAGTGGGCTTGTGTATGTTCTAAGATTCTGTGGGTCTCTCCAGTGAACTCTTCTGTGAGGCTGGAAGTCTCTCCGAGCACCTCAACCCCCACAGGTGTTTTCAATCCTTGTTCTGAGGCTTTATTTCCCTGCACTGGGACCCTGGGTTGCTCAGTCTGTCTCGTTCCCCAGTTTCACCTGGTTTATCTGAGTGGGAATGTGTGACCACGCTGTCAGTCAGCAGCCTTATGTGCCTCACTGGGTCTCCCTGTTGCCAACCTGTGCCCAGGGTCTGACAGCCGCCATCTTTTGTGGCTGGGGTCTGTCAGCTGCTGCCTTGCACTCCTGGGGTCCGCAAGCCACTGCTTTTTTTTTTTTTTTTGCCGTGACCCCTGTCCATCTGACTCTGCTCTTCCTACCCGTCTGGAGGAATGTGTCTATTTTAACTCCTTGGTTGTCAGATTTCTGTATAGTTCGATTTTCTGTCAGTACTGTTTTTTTCTTTGTTTCTGAACTGTTGTCTTTATTTTGGTTGTGCAAGGAGGCACAGTGTGTTTGCCTTCACTTCCATCTTGGCTAGAAGAAGAATTGAACTTATTTTAAAATTTAAAGCCATATAGGGAAAAGATGGAGTAAGTTGGAAATTAAAGGATTAATTAGAAAGCTCTGAAAACTTTGTTCTGTTTAGAACGCATTCTAACATTTTAGAGTGTATTTTGGTAATATTAAATTAGGTTACTTTAATAGAGCAGTATATTTTTATGGGAAATTGATAGTTTAGCTCTGGATCACAGAAAAGTTATTTTTCATGCTATATGAAAGCAGTACTCCTATCCAGTTACCCTAATTGTAGTAGTTAGTGATGAAGGAGAAAATAAACTCAGGTTGAATTGTAAGCATAAATTATCAAGTGATAATAAACATGTATTTTTTAACATGAAATATCAAGTTAGTACTATAATTATATGAAAAATAAAATAGTGGCTCTTATTAAGAAATTAATCAATTCACAAGAATTAGCAGCAACCCTGGCTGGTATAGCTCAGTGGATTGAGTGCCGGCCTGCGAACCAAAGGATTGCGGTTCAATTCCCATTCAGGGCACATGCCTGGGTTTCAGGCCAGTTCCCAGTAGGGAACGCACAAGAGGCAACAATACATTGATATTTCTCTCCCTCTCTTCTTCCCTTCCCCTCTAAAGATAAATAAAAAAAAATCCTTACTACATTAACATAAATATTTTTTTCAAAAAGAATTAGCAGCAGTTCTACCTTGGGGTCTGACTTACACTTTTGTTTGTAAGAAAAATGAGTTAGAAACTTTTCCTACTCTGCCTTTAAAAATTTTTTTGTAATGACCATATTTTTCTTGTAGGTGTGTGAACCTGTAAAATAAAGACTTCCAAAATGATCCGGTGTATTTTAATCATAGGGATTCTACTTCCCCAGTCTTTGGCCCATCCAGGCTTTTTTACTTCAATTGGTAAGTCTTAACTCTTTTTTGGTTTGTATTGTTTTTGCATTTAAAATTTTTTATTTTTTGGTGTTTTAAGCTAGTACAAAGAAATATACTGTATCCTAAAAGACATTCTCATTTTAAAATTCAACTTGTTTTTCTTTAAATATTTTTCTGATTATAAAAGCAGAACATTTACAGATTAGAAACTTACGAAAATTTAGGAAAGCATAGAAAAGAAAATTCTCTATTAATGGTTCCATCCAGCAAATAATTTAATGCATATACTTAGTCATTCTAAGAATCTATTGTGAACCCAACTTTTTCCGACATTATAATTTTAAGAAATCTATAAAGTATTGTAAAAATGGCATATTGTTTAAAAGGGGAAAGAATCAGAAGTATATAGAGTGTAAGACACCCGCATGTCCTCTTACCCCCAGAAATATTCCTCATGGTTGATGTGTATCCTTTTATATTTTCCTATATGCGTACTTCATTGGTCTTAAATGGGATATTTTCCTTCATTTTGTTGCCCAGCTTTACCCTTGTGTGATTGTGGAGCTAATTAAAACACAAGTATTGTATTTATGACACCTAATTTCAGGATATAAAATGATGAGTTTTTTCATTCCCATTATAAATAAATATGGATTATTTGATTTTCAGCTGTGAGTAATACTTTCTGTTAGTGTAGTTTTTACTTATGGCATAAAAATTTAATTTTAATTAGCCTAAAAAAATAAATAATGGTGCGGGGGGTGTTGGGGTCAAGAAGAAATATTGATCTTTGAAAAGTAGTGTTGTTATATTTTTAGATGAGAAGACAATTTACTAATACAGTCCATCCTTGCAAGTTAGGTAGCTTGAAAATTAGAATTGGAACACATCAGTAGAAAAAATTTTGGCTTTGTTTTTATTTATCCGGTTTAAAGAAAAAGAAGAAAAATATGCTCTCTCATGCCAGTTAAATTGTTTCAGAGCAAGAAGCATTCTTGATTATTCTTAAATTAGTCTAAAATACTAGTGTTGATGAATATGGGTATTTGATCATCTTTCCTTCTTCTTTAAGGTCAGATGACTGACTTGATTTATATAGAGAAGGACCTGGTGACTTCCCTGAAAGACTATATTAAGGCAGAAGAAGACAAATTAGAACAAATAAAAAAGTAAGAAAAAATGTTTATTTATTATGACTCTGACTTCACCTGTTTTATTTCTAGAGCTAAAACATTGAGTGGAAATGAAAGTCTTAGATGAAATGGCTAAAAAGGAGCAAAGAAAACAAGAGTTAGGCCTGGGCCAAGAGTTCACATGGAAGAACATGGGTTGGGATAAGAATATAAATGGATGTGGTTGTTGACTGAAAAATTTAAAAAATGGTTGTTAATATCTTCTGTCCTCTAACCTCCCTAATCAAAACACTTTCTGGAGTAATTTCCCAAGTCCATTTATCTTTCACTGGTATGGTTCCATTTTAGAGATTACAGTATGGTTAGTATTATTTAATTGATATAGTTTTTCCTCCAAGGATAATTTGTTTTTGTTTTTGTTTTTTTTAGATTTTATTTATTTATCTTTAGAGGGGAAGGAGAGAGGGAGAGAAACATCAATGTATGGCTGCCTCTCGTGCATCCCCTGCTGGGAACTGGCCTGCAACCCAGGCATGAGCCCTGACTGGGAATCGAACCGAGATCCTCTGGGTCTCAGGCAGATAATTTGTTTTTAATTGACTTGGGTTCATAGTTAATCCTGACCTGAGAATTTATATCTTTTGTTTAATAAATAGCTAAGTACTCATTTTTGGGGGGGTTATGAATGTAAAATTTTGTGTAAGTTTGATTTAAATGAACATATAACTGAATTTGGATTGGGCTAATTTATACTTTGCAATAATCAGTTATATGGCTTTAAGGACCAGTGCATGAATGAATATTTACACCATTACTAGAGGGATCCAATTACAACTTTTACTAAGATAGGTTTCATTTACTGTAACCATGTGGGAGGGAAAAACACTAAAGAAAAAAGTGTTGTAGCTGTATTTTTATTCTGCCATGCTAGGTTTTATCCTTAAGAACATGTTGCTTTTTTAAAAACCTTTATGATTTTAGTTTTAAAAAAAATTTTTAGATACCGTTTTAACTCAGAAACCTCCAATATAGACTTTTTTTTTTTAGTGCGTTACTAAATTGTGTTTTCCTAATTATATGTCTTACATGTATAGATGGGCAGAGAAGTTAGATCTGCTAACTAGCACAGCAACAAAAGATCCCGAAGGATTTGTTGGGCACCCTGTAAATGCCTTCAAGTTAGTGAAACGTCTGAACACTGAATGGAGTGAGTTGGAGAATCTAGTCCTTAAGGATATGTCAGATGGTAAGAAAATGAGCCCCCAAAAGTAAGGCAATATTGCTACCACCTATAGAAATGCCAAAAGTGGGGATATATTCAGATCCAGAACATCAAGTGTTAACTATTATAACTGAATTATTTCTGGGGTGTTTTTTCTTTAAATTTATTTTTATTTATAGAGAGAGGAAAAGGGAGGGAGAAAGAAAGGGAGAGAAACATCAGTGTGTGAGAGATACATCAACTGATTGCTTCGCACATGCTCCCAACTGGGGACCTGTCTTGCAGCCCAGGCATGTGCCCTAACTGGGAATCGAATTGATGACCTTTTGGTTCTTAGGCCAATGCTCAATCCATTGAGCCATACCAGCCAGGGCTGATAATCTTAAATATATAATTAATAACTCTTCTTCTCCTTAAGGAATTCCACCAAACTTTATTTATATATGTATATAATGTGTGACACATGGAAGAAAATAACAATTTAAGAGCATATATTTTACATACCATCTGTTACCTGAAAGTATAATTGGTTGCCAATGAATGTCATTTTCAAATCTGTTAATTTTTCAACTTAGTGGAGGCTATGTTGTATAACTAAAAGCTCTATTATTATGTTAGTTGATGTTTATCTACTAATGCATACAGACATAATTTATTTGTATCTACTAAAATAGGCATAATTTATGCAGTGATCTCAGATTAAGCAACATTAGAAAAGGTCTGGAATAATAGAAGGAGTTAGAGGTATGTCAAGTCTCATTCAGTGTATCTAATTTTTTCTCATTGAGCATGTGGAACATAGTATGGTAGAAAATTATAATAAATCAATTTTGAAGAAACTTTGTAAACACTATATTGGAAATTTGAAGTCTCTGAGGTTCTAAGTCTCCCCCCTCCCTTATTTCCTTATTTCCAGGCTTTATCTCTAACCTAACAATTCAGAGACAGTACTTTCCTAATGATGAAGATCAGGTTGGGGCAGCCAAAGCCCTGTTACGTCTCCAGGACACCTATAATTTGGATACAGATACCATTGCAAAGGGTAATCTTCCAGGTAAGAATTCTTTTAGTCTGTATAACACCTGTCACCTGGCTTCTCTGTTCAGTCCAGTAGGACAGTGTTAATGTGAAAAAGACTTCATTATTTTAAGATTTTTAACTTTGTTTTGTAGTCTTTGATGACAAAACAACCCTCCATTTCTCAAGAACTTAATAGTTGGGGATAAGCTTCTAGCTTGTTACTTTGAAAGCTTATAATTATAAGGACTAACCTTAAGTAGGCAATTTTAGCATGTAAGAAAAAGAAACAGTCATTTTTCCAAATGTTTTTATTTAGAACATCCAGTGTTTGTTTTCCTAATGTAAAGTTATAAGGGAATTGATAATCAAAGATAATGTGTTCAATAATTAAAAAACCAAGACCTGTTGGATATGTGCAGACTTTTTTAAGTGTTCTGCAGTATAAACATCCTGCTTTCTAATCTGTTTTTGGCAAAACCCATTTTTTGTACTCGATCTTAGCCAAAAGGCCAGGAAGTGAGGCAAAACCCATTTTTTAAAGTTATGGCTGATTATTTCATAATAATTTGCTTTAAAGATTTTTATTGTACAAAATCATGTAACAAAATTAACTATTTTAACCAATTTTAAATGTACCATTTAGTGGCTCTAAGTATGTTCACATTGTTGTACAGCCATCACCATCCATCTCCATAGCTCCTTTGATCTTATAAAACAGAAACTCTGTACCCATTAAACAATAAGTCCCATTTCCTAGGTACTTTCTCTAGCCCCTAGAAATCATCATTCTACTTTTTTGTCTCTATGATTCAAGTACCTCATAGGTGGAATTACAAAGTATTTGTCTTTCTGTGATTGTCTTATTTCACTTCACATAGTGTGCTCAAGGATCATCCGTATTATAGCATGTGTCAGAATTTCCCTATTTCTTAAGGTTGAACAATAATCCATTACATGTTATACCACATTTTGCTTATCTATTCACTCATCAACCGGACACACATGGGTTGCTTCCAGATTTTGTCTATTGTGAATAATTCTGCTGTGAATGTGAGGGTGCTAATATTTCTTCAAGACCTTGTCGTCTGTTCTTTGAGTATATGTGTAGAAATGGAATTGCTGGATCATATGGTAATTCTATTTTTATATTTTTGAGGAACTACCATACTATTTTCCATAGTAGCTATAGCATTTTACATTCTCACCAGCAGTGCATATTGTCTCAACATCCTTGCCAACACTTGCTGTTTTCATTTTTATTTTTTTGATAGTAAGCATTCTAATAGATGTGAGTTGGTATCTTGTTACAGTTTTGCATTTCTCTAATTATCAGTGATGTTGAGCATACTTTCGTGTGCTTAGCAGCCATCTGCATACCTTCTTTGGAGAAATGTATGTTTAAATCCTTTGTCCTTTTTTTTATAGTGCTTGTTTATTTTCTGTTGCTGAATTTTAGGAGTTCTTTACATATTTTGGATATTAATCCCTTAGAATTTAATGATTTGAAAATATTTTCTCCCATTCTGTGAGTTGCCTTTTCACTCTATTGATACTGTTGTGTTTTGATGTACAAAATTATAAAAAATTCAATGTCCAATTTGTTTATTTTTTCTTTTATTGCCTGTGCCTTTAGGATCATGTGCAATAAGAAATCAGTGTCTAATCCAGTGTCATGAAGCTTTTGTCCAGTGTTTCCTTCTAAGAGTTTATTTTATTTATTTTTAGAGAGAGAAGGAAGGAGGGAGAAAGAAAGGGAGAGAAACATCAGTTTGTTGCCTCTCCCACACCTCCCAACTTGGGACCTGATCAGCAACCCAGGCATGTGCCCTGACTGGGAGTTGAACTGGTGCCCCTTTGGTTTGCAGGCCAGTGTTCAATCTACTGAGCTATACCAGTCAGGGCTCTTTGAAGTTTTATTTTTTTAGGTCTCACATTCTTACATTTAGGTCCTAGGTCCATTTTGAGTTTTTTTTGCGTATGGTTTGTGTGAGGGTTCAGATTCACGTTTTTGCAAGTGGATACACAGTTTTCCCAGCACCCATTTCTTCAAAAGACTGTCCTTTCCCCATTAAGTGGCCTTGGCACCCTTGTCAAAAATCATTTGACCATGCGTGTGAGGGTTTGTTTCTGGGCTCTATTCGGTTGATCTATGTCTGTCTTTATGCCAATACCATACTGTTTTTATGACTTGGAGCTTTGTAGTAAGTTTTGAAATCAGGAGGTATGAAACCTTCAGTTTTGTCCTTTTTCAAGATTGTTTTGACTCTTTGGGATCCCTTGAGATTCCATGAGAGTTTTAAGATTTGGTTTTTTTTTTTTAAGTATTGTAAAAAATGTCATTGGGATTTTGGTGGGAATTACATTGAATCTAGATTGCTTTAGGTAGTAATTGACATCTTTTTTTTTAAATTTTTTTATTGATTATGCTGTTACAGTTCTATTCCCCCTTTTATTCCCCCCACCCTACCCCCCCATCTCCACCATTACCCCCCCTTTAGTTTATGACCATGTGTCTCAAGTCCTTTAGATTCTATATTTCCCATGCTATTCTTGCCCCCCCTTCTATTTTCTATCTACTGTCTATGCTACTTATTTGCTGTACCTTCTCCTCCTCCCACTCCCCTGTTGCTAACCCTCCTTAAGATCTTCATTTCTATGTTTCCACTCCTGATCTAGCTGTCCTTTTAGTTTGCTTTTGTTTTAGGTGTGGTTGTTAATAACTGTGAGTTTGTTGTCCTTTCACTGTTCATGTTTCTTTAACTTCTTTTTCTTAGATAAGTCCCTTTAACATTTCATATAATAAGGGCTTGGTGATGATGAACTCCTTGAATTTGATCTTATCTGAGAAGCACCTTATCTGCCCTTCCATTCTAAATGAAAGCTTTGCTGGGTAGAGCAATCTTTGTTGTAGGTCTTTGGATTTCATGACTTGGAATACTTCTCTTTCCAGCCCCTTCTTGCCTGTAAGGTCTCTTTTGAGAAATCCGCTGACAGTCTGATGGGGACTCCTTTGTAGGTGACTGTCCCCTTATCTCTTGCTGCTTCTAGGATTCTCTCCTTCATTTTAATTTTGGCTAATGTAATGATGATGTGCCTTGGTGTGTTCCTTCTTGGGTCCAACTTCTTTGGTACTCTCTGAGCTTCCTGGATTTCCTGGAAGTCTATTTCCTTTGCCAGATTGGGGAAGTTCTCCTTTATTATTTGTTCAAATAAGTTTTCCACTGGTGGCTGTCCCTTTCCCCCATCTGGTACCCCTATAATTTGTATGTTGGAGCGTTTAAAGATGTCCTGGAGGTTCCTAAACCTCTCTTCATTTCTTTGAATTCTTGCTTCTTGACTCTTTTCTGTTTGGCCATTATTTGCTTTCTTCTGGTCCACTCCATTGATTTGAGTCCCAGTTTCCTTTTCATTGCTATTGGTTTCCTGTGCAATTCCATTCATTTCAATTAGTTTCGCCTTCATATATTTGTCTAATTTGTGGCTATAATCAACCAGTTCTGTGAGGATCCTGATCACTAGTGTTTTAAACTGTGCATCTGAGAGTTTTGCTATTTCTTCATCACTTAGATCTATGGGCTCTGGGGCTTTGAGATCTTGCGACATTTTTGGTCTGTTCGCGCCCTTTAAGTGTGAGAAGCGGCGCCTTGGACTCCCAGGTCGCTGGGTTGTGACGCTGTATGTGGGGGCGTGGTCAGAGCGGGGAAATGGCGACCCCCTCTGCTGTTTCTCACAGCTGGGTGAGGATCAGCGCCTCAGGTGGTTCACCTGGGCCGGGCCACTCAGAGTCGCTGGGTTATGACGCTGTATGTGGAGGTGGGGTCAGAGCAGGGTACTGGCAGCACCCTCCACTGCTGCTTGCCGCGGGGACCGCCAGGCCTCGGTCCAACCGCCCACGCCTGGATTCCGTGGGTCTGGATTCCGTGCGCGCCTGAGTCCGTCTGACCGAGTCTTCCTGTGCAACCCCGCTTCACCAGCCGCTGGTTTCGCCCCTTACCGGTCAGGCTGAAGAATTTGTTGTTAACAGACTTCTGAAAAGTTCAGTTTTCCGTGTTCTGGCTGTGTTTTCTGTTGCTAATATTAAGTTGTCTCTAAACTTGGTTGTGTGAGAAGGCACGGCACATCCACCTATGCCTCCATCTTGGCGGAAGTCGATACTCGTGTAATTGACATCTTAACAATGTAAATTTTCCAATCCTATGGACATGGGATGTATTTTCATTTATTTATGTCTTCTTTAATTTCTTCTTTTTTAAGATTTTTATTTATTTTTAGAGGGGGGGCAGGGAGAGAGAGAGAAACATTGGTGTGTGGTTGCCTCTTGAGCTCCCCCTACAGGGGACCTGGCCTGCAACCCAGGCATGTGCCCTGACTGGAAATCTAACCCTGCTACTCTTTGGTTCACAGGCCAGTGCTCCATCCACTGAGCCACACCAGCCAGGGTAATTTTTCTCTCTCTCTTTTTTAAAAGTTTGAAATATCTCTCTTTTAAAAAATATTTTTAAATTTTATTTTTGGAAGGAAGGAAGGGAGAAAGAAAGAAAGAGAGAGAGAGAAACATGGATTGGTGCCTCTCCCATGTGCCCCAGCTGGGACCTAACCTTCAGTTTGCGGGACTACACCCAACCCACTGACCCATACCACCCAGGGCTCTCTTCTTTAATTTCTTTCACCAGTGTTTTACAGTTTTCATTGTACAGGTCTTTCATTTCCTTGGTTAATTCCTATGTATTTTATTCCTAGGATTGTTTTAGTAATTTTCTATTCAGATCGTACGTTGTTCATATCAGAAATGTATCTGATTTTTGTGTATTGACTTTGTATCCTATTATTTTCCTGAATTTACTTAATAGCTCTAACAGTTTTTTGTGGAATATTTAGGGTTTTCCATATTTAAGATAGTATCATCTACAACTAGAGATCATTGTACTTCTTCCTTTTAAATTTGGATACCTTTTACTGCTTTTTTTTCATGGCCTACCGTATTTTTCGGACTATAAGACACACTTTTTTGCCTCAAAAAATTTTTTCCTATTT